ACAATCTTGATAAAATTCGAGCAGAGGCTGACTAAAGGGGACAAATCATGGGGAAGGATGAAGGAAAAGCATTCCTTCATAGCATGACACGCTCCTTCAAAAGCATTCCTTCATATTTTCTACTTCAACTTACTTACAAAAGCCCTCAGGCATGAATGCATTTGGCATTTTAAAAGACACAGCAAGGAGGCTCATGAAATTGGATCTGACTTTGGGGCAGGAAGTGGTACAAGACTAGGTCGCAAAGGTAGCTACAGGACAGATAATGAAGGATTTTGTAGGCCACGATAATCGTCAGATTATAAATGGTATTCAAAGCTATGAGGCTTTAGGCTTTAGCCTCCTAGCTTTGAATCCCACCTGGAGTATAAAGGTACTCCAGTATTTGGAGATCAGAAAGACAGAACCAGCAAAGACCGCAGACCAGGTAAAAAGAAACCAGGAGAGGGTTCCAGAAGCTAACTGAAACCAAACTCAATAATAAACATTTTCTCTCACCAAAGTAGCAAAGATTAAATTAAAATAATCAATGCTGATGAGAATGCTGTGAGACAAGCATGTTCTCTGGAAGGTGGAGTGCAAACTGGTATAACCCTTCGGTAATCAATTCATCAAAGTGAATCAAGAATTTGAAAAACATATATTCTTTAACCCAGTATTGTGCTTGTGAGGAAATCTATTTTTGAAGACTAATCCAAAATACTAAAATTTTATGCATATTCATAGTATTGCCACTGATTGTTTTAAAAATTGCTATGCTGTACATCAAATAGGAAGAGTTCATTTTCTGAGTATCTGTGCTAAGGACAGTAGTTCCCCTAAGCCAATTTGGCATGTCATCCTTCTTTCTCTCATGTCCAACTTTATCTGCCCCTTTGAATTGACACCTCATATCCCCATTTCCTTGTTGACAAGTCACAATTTACTTACTTTACCTGGTTGTGTTAAAACATGAAATAGGCCCTAAGTGCGCAATGGGTCTCTGGGAATCATTTTATCCAATCCCTTATACTCAGGGAGGTGATACCACTTTACTGATGAGGCAACAAAAAGTGAAGGGAACATGACTTGTTGGAGAACGAACAAAACAATGTTTAAGGTCTCTTGATCTTTGCACGTTACATGGGAGATTTAACAAGCCTACACACTCATATGTAAAATGGTTACAAGTTCTCAAAATTCAGAGAAACACTATAGTTTTGTAAAGACCGAACACAGACAGATGCATTTTTTTAAAGAGCAGTCTTTTTCTCATTATCCCCTCATTAATTCGAAGAGCATTTGCTGAATGCTTACTATTTTCCAGGCACGAAGAGTCCCTAAACTCAGGTGTAGTGGGGAAGACTACGAGTTAAAATACTGTAACAGAAGTTATGGGAACAAAGATGTGGGGGATTTTATTACAACCAGAAGTATCTCTCTTCTCTCTGATTCAAAGAGCTTTCTTCATTCCTCTCCTTAAAATACTTGCGACAGGGAAGGTATCATCTATGAGATAATACAGGGTGAGTGCTGAAGGACACACACAAACTCATCAAGTGACCAAAGGAAAGCCTAAGTGTCGCAGGCAAAGGCAAGTGCATGTGCAAAGAACTTGAAAAAATCTATTTTCCTAATACCTAAAGCATAAAGAAAGCATTAACAGGAAGTGAAAGGGAAAACAAGCAGAAACCAGATTACAAAGGTTCGGATACATTATGATGGAATCACGTTTGCACAAACTCATCCAATTGTCTAAACTCATCAAACTGTACATATTGAAGGTGCAGTTCTTTGTTATCAATCATACCTTGACAAAGCTGTTACAAAAAATAATGTGGTCTTCCAGACACTATCTGGCACCCACCCACACATTAACTTACTGGAGTCTTCAGGGATCCACCTGGTAGTCAAACAGCACGGCGAATAGAGGAACTCTTTGGCGTAAGAGGATCGTGGGTTCAAGTACCAGCTCTGCTACTTTCTGGCAGTGTGACCACTGGTGAGTTATTCCCCCTTCTTTAGTTTTTTATCTTACTCATAAAACATGGTAGCCCCCACATCTCAAAGAAGCCAGGAAGATGAAATAGATCAAGTGGTCAACAAATGTTGTCAAGCATATAATACCAATTCATTAACAGAGAGCTCAACTTTATGTATCTCTCAAGCAGATAAATGGTATATAGGGATATACCACACCCGCTCCCCCACAAAAGGGGAGTCATATATACTCTTAAAACCTAAATATTAGTAAATTCTAGATTCACTGGAAAGCAATGACTTAATTTTGGACATCCAAAATACTCCTGGCAGGCTCCTGCGTGCAAACAATGCAAAATTCTCAATTAGCAGCAGATCTATGAAACAAAAGTTGCTAGTTACTGAATAGTCATCATAACATCATGATATGTGCTTTGTAAGTATTCCCATCTAACCCTCAAAATCACCTTTTTAGGGGCACTTTTATTATCCCCTTCCAGGTAAGAAAACTGAGTCATGTCGGTCAATTTGTAATGTAGTAACAGAATGAGTAAATGTGGAGTCTGGAAGCTGCTTTAATGAAGGGAACAAGGCAAGTGTGACTAAAGGGACAGGGTGTGATGACTTCTACTAGATGCACGGTTGAGCCATGAACTATTATCGGAAAATACATAGGACTAATGAGATTATGTTTACATGCAAGTCTCCACTACTAGAATGTGAATCCTTAGGGGCAGTTTTTCAGAGATTCATATCCAGCTGTGAGGGATCCCCAAGCAGTACATAGTACCCATCTCACTTCATTGGGAAAAACTCAAGACCAACAACTAGACTTTTCTCCATTCAGAACATTAAAAAATATTTTTTTGAGACAGGGTCTTGCTGTCACCCAGGCTGGAGTGCGGTGACGGCAATCATAGCTGACTGTAGCCTTGACCTCCTGGACTCAAGTGATCCTCCCAACTCAGCTTCCCAAAGTGTTGGGATTACAGGTGTGAGCCACTGCGCCCGACAGTTCATAACACTTAGTAAATATGACTACGTCTTTGCCTTACACAGCCTCCCCCGAGAAGGTAGCAGTAAGAATGACTGTGTAGAATCTCAAAGGTTGGATAGAATCGATTTGGGGATTAAATGGACTTAATGCCTGTCAGCAAGATTGGCAAGGATACGTTTCAAGGACCCATGTTTGTTAAGTAAATGTTTCCAATTGAATGGTATTGTTTTAATATGTCCTCTCCAAAATTCATGATGAAACTTAATCCCCATTGTTGCAAAGAAATTGCTGTAAGTCATGAACCGCTGGTAGAAATGTAAAATGGTAGAAAATGCTCTGGAAAACAGATTAGCAGTTTCTCAGAAAGGTAAACATGCAACTACCGTAAGACCCAGCAACTGCACTCTTGGACATTTATCCCAGAGAAATGAAAACTTACATTCACACAAAAACCTGTACATGAATTCTCGTAACAGCCTTAAAAACAGCAGCTAACTATTGGTAATAACCCAGACGTTTTTTAGCAGCTAAACAAACTGTGGTACGTTCATACCATGAATTGTACTCAGCAATAGAAATACACACAATACGTGAAACAACTTGGATGCATCTTCAGGGAATTATGCTAAGTCAAAAAAGGCAAAGGGACACATCTAACTTACACGATCCCTGTCATTTCCCTTCTTGAAATGACAAAAAGAAATGAAGGCTAGCTTAGTGCTTGCCAAGGATCAGCGGGGGAAGAGGTGGTCTGACTACATAAGGCAACATGAGGTATCTTGTGGTGTTAAAACTGTTCTACATATTGACTTCATGCTTTTTTTTTTTTTTTTTGAGATGGAGTCTCTCTTGATTCTCCTGCCTCAGCCTCCAGAGCAGATGGAAGTACAGGTACTCACCACCACGGCTGGCTCATTTTTGTATTTTTGATACAGACAGGCTTCACCATGTTGGCCAGGCTGGTTTTGAACTCCCGACCTCAAGTGATCCATCCACCTCAGCCACCTAAAGTACTGGGATTACAGGTACGAGTCACCATGCCCGCCTATTATCAGTATCTTGATTGTGAAACTGCACTACAGTTTTGCAAGATGTTATCATTGACAAACAGAATACAGTGTACAAGGAATCTTTATAACTCCACGTAAATCTGCAATTATCTCAAAATAAAATATTCAATTAAAAAAAAAAAGGAACTCCCATTGTGGAAGTATCAAGACCAAGAGGTAAGTGAAGGTCAAACCTTCATACGATACCAAACCTGCCAGCACCTTTACCTTGGGACGTCCGAGCCTCAGCCTCCAGAACCACCACATAAGCTTCTACTGCTTACCCAGGTCTTTGGTATATTGTTACAGCAAGACAATGGCCTAACACAAATGCTATTACCACTATTATTTTCTGAGTTCTGTTCCATGCATGGTCAAAGCAATTCCAAGCTAGTATATAACACACAAATGGATACTTTAAACAATGTGTTTTTTTAGGGTTCAAAAGCAAACTCTGGAAACTGAGCTTAACTGTAATGCAATAGATTACATCCCACTTATTTTTGTAATTTATTTTATATGGCCTGGCACAGTGGCTCATGCCTGTAATCCCAGCACTGGGAGGCCGAGGCAGGTGGATCATGAGGGCAGGAGTTCGAGACCTGACTGACCAACATGGTGAAACCCCGTCTCTACTAAAGATACAAAAATTAGCTGGGCACGGTGGCACGCGCCTGTAATCCCAGCTACTCAGAAGGTTGAGGCAGAATCGCTTGAACCCAGAAAGTAGATGTTGCAGTGAGCCGAGATCACACCATTGCACTCCAACCAGGTTGACAGAGCAAGACTGTCTAAAAAAAAAAATTACTTTATTTCTTCCTTGATGATTTAAGACTATCTTCAAACCAGTACAAATATTTCATACATAATACCTGGCCATTTTCTAACCAACCCAGTAATCTGTTGCACAATAAGCTACCTTACATCCTTCAACAAGGAATACATTAAATTTGAATAGGAAAGACATTACATAATGAATTAGGAGACAACTAAAATTTGCTTTAAGTATTTCTTTGGGGGAGAGGACACCACACTTCTACTCAATGAAGAGAAACATTTTTCAGCCCAGAGGTCTTTTATTTATTTATTTTTTTAACACCTATTATGCCATGAATTCATAGGGAATAGGTTCCAGCAGCTCAGGCTCCTTCCCATTGGTTCTCACAAAGTGTGCTTCTCTGGGTGGAGCAGGCTATTAAAGGAAAAAAAGGGGAATAAAATAATTATGTGAAGTGTTAAATCTCAACCTTAAAGTGCTCTCAGGACCAATGAAATATACACCAAATTCTCACCTGGCGCTTCAGTTGAACCCAGGTACCTTTCTCTTTGGCTTCTTTCTTTTTCTGATCATTTTCCTTCACGCGTTTCAGGAAGCTATCTCGGCTCTTAGAGTGCTTAATGTGCTCAATACGCACATTAATTCTCTTGGCAAGAATCTTGCCCCTGAACAGAGCAGAAATTCTTGTAAATGCTTTATCAGAAATGTAACAGAAACGTAGAAAACTTTTTGCAGTTTCATTTATTAAACAAACCATGAACCTTTTATCCAGATACAACAAATCAAAAAAGTATGGCTTGATTACTTTACAATCAATTATTAATCATATCAGAAGAAGCCTTGCAGAGAACATCCTTACTTTTAACTCTCTTTGATGAGATGACAGCCTCTTAAACTCTAGTAATCTAACCCAAACCAGATTGCTAATAAAATTTTAAATTTTCTTTTTATTCTATAAAAACTGCTGGGCCGGGCGCGGTGGATCACGCCTGTAATCCCAGCACTTTGGGAGGCCAAGGCAGGTGATCACGAGGTCAGGAGATCAAGACCATCCTGGTTGACACAGTGAAACCCTATCTCCACTAAAAATACAGAAAAATTAGCCGGGCGTGGTGGTGGGCGCCTGTAGTCCTGGCTACTGAGGCAGGAGAATGACATGAACCCAGGAGGCGGAGCTTACAGTGAGCAGAGATCCCATCATTGCACTCCAGCCAGGGTGACAGAGCAAGACTCTGTCTCAAAACAAACAACAAAAAAAACTGCTTGGTAATAAACTATGTTAAGACTTTCCAATACATCTATTTCAATTTGTTTCCTCTGACAGGATACAAGACAAACACCCAGTTTGCCTGAGTTTTAAAAGGATATTTCCTTTGCCCCACTTGAATGACCAATAAAGACATAAGTCCAATTGGCAAAGTGAAAAGGGGGTATGAGGGAATACCGGTTGGCCGCAAAGAACTACAACACTACTTACTTAACTTGTTTGTTTACAACAATGCCAACAGCATGCTGGGTAACATTGTAGACTCTCCCAGTTTTGCCATGGTAACACTTGTGGGGCATTCCTTTTTGAACAGTACCCATTCCCTGTTAAAGAGACAAATATACCAGCATTTCCCTTTCCTTTAAAAATCTGACTTTAAGTAACTAAGATATTCTAAGATTTCCTTTAAATGGCAACTGAAGAGCTTTCAGAGCCGGTGAAATGTGTTTTTCACATTGCTTCAAGCAATCAAAAAAACCAATCATCATTAAGCTCTAGAGTGCCAAGATACATTTAAATACAGATCACAGGACACAGCTTTCACTAGGAGGATTTTTAATCATAGCAACGGTAATCTTCATCAATAGTTAAACTTTGCACTAAGACATTCCCTTCCAACTTGACAAACTCATAATTTCCCACCCTACCACTAATTTCCACTTGTTGTTAACTCCAAGCAGGTAATGAGGAAAATTTAAATTCTGCTAAGAACAGCACTTTAAAAAATCCATTCTAGGCTGCGCACGGTGGCTCACACCTGCAATAATCCCAGCACATTGGGAGGCTGAATCGGGCGGATCATCCGAGGTGTTCAAGGCCAGCCTAACCAACATGGAGAAACCCCATCTCTACTAAAAATACAAAATTAGCCAGGCATCATGGCACATGCCTGTAATCCCAGACATTTGGGAGGCTGGGGCAGGAGAACTGCTTGAACCTGGAAGGGAGGTGGAGGTTGAGGTGGGATCGTGCCAATGCACTCCAGCCTGAGCAACAAGAGTGAAACTGTGTCTCCAAAAAAAAAAAAAAAAAAAAAAATCCATTCTGTACTCTTACAGATGCAATATACACTAGTATTTGAATTCCTACACTAGATTAAATCCAACTTTTCTAACTTCGTAGTGTTATTTTCCCAATTTTATGTTTACCTTGATGTCTACGATATCACCTTTCTTATAGATTCGCATATATGTGGCCAAAGGAACAACTCCTGCAAAAATAAATTTGGTATAGTGAATACTAAGGCTAAAAGTCTAGAGTAAAAGAAATGAAATCTCACTAGCTTTTAACACATCATTTTTGATAGTTACATGCTTAATATCTTGCCAATGGATAATTTCTCCTGAAAGCAAAATCAGCCTACTAAATTACAACCTTTCTCCAAAGTTTAATCTTGCATCAATATTTAGTCACAAAATTACCATATAAACTTCATGCTTATTTATCACAAAATAAGTTGGGTAAACGCTAGTTATTTAATGCTATTGATACACGTTCTCTGAACTACAACACATGTTGACCACAACAGAACACAAATGTGTGCCATGCTTCTCTCAAGGAAGGTAAACCTACTTACCATGTTTTCTAAAAGGCCTAGAGAACATATATCGGGTGCCTCTCCTCTTTCCCTTTGTGTTCGTCATTTTGGCGAATTACTGAAACCAGAAAGCATAACAGTCAAATGCAAATGAAAATTGGCATTTGCCCCAAACCCCTGTAATTTCAAATGTTTGCATGTCAGTAGCAAAGTGAAAACTGCAAACTGAAAGCTGGGTCACCAAGCAATTAGTTCTGTTGAAAGGTTAAAAAACCATTATTTTAGCAAGTAAGATCTTTTGGCAAAACTGCCCAAGTTCTACAACATCAAAACTCTTAAGCAGCAGAACTTGATACCAGAATCCAAACCAGTACCCTTTCTCTATGAGAATATAAAAATACAACAGGACTTCTACCACACTCTATCTGTAGACCCCAATCTAGAATGCCAATGGCATGTAATTACTAACTATAAGATAATTTATTGGAGAACACAATAAAACAGCCTTACATTTTTACGTGAATTAAATCTTTCTTGTCAACCAAATTTTCCGTGATGGTGTATCTCAAACAGCATCTATTTATCAGAAATCTCAAGTCACTTCACATTCCTGATTACTTACTACGAAATGTATACAGGGTAGAAGAGAGGTGAACCCAGGCTTTATAATCATTCACCTAAATTTGACATAGGCTCTGCCACTTACTAGCTGCGAAACCCACATTTCATCTCTCATCTTCATTTGTGAAATAGGGGTGAACACTTCCATAACTGAGATAACATCTACAAAGAACTGAGCAATGCATGGCCCACGTAAAGTGCTCAGTAGTAACTGGCAGCTAATTTATCATTATCTAAGAATTCACCTACATGTAGGCATTTAGAAATTAACCTTTCCTTTTGTTTCCCAAAAAGGCCAAAACAATAGTTTTGATGGCTCTTTAGTCATTACAGGGCAGAAGTGCCATTCCTGGCTATTACTGCTACCATAAGGTAAAATACAGCAGTCAGGCTTAACGTGTTGACAACATTCTAACACAATTTGGTTTCTAAATTTACTAACAATCCTTTAAGAACGGCTCCCAAAGTACCATTTGTATAAAAACTGTATAGCAAGGAGACATGTTTCACCTAACTCACCAAAGCCAAACCATTGTTACAATGGATGAACCCTTTAAATGCCAGGTACCCTGTTCTAATCCCCAAAGCCTACAAAGTTCCACAAACTTGTGGTAAGTTAGTATACAAGGGGTGGTACTGTGTAGATTCAAGTCACTCTGTGGAATCACCAAGTGGCAGAACCAGTTAACTCATTCCTGATTCCAGAGCCCATAGTCCTCCACTAGATTCACCTTTCTGAGTTTGGAATCCATTTTCCGCATGGACCCCATAAACTTAAAACTGAAAACACTTTTCAAAAAGATGCTTTACAGTCTGTAACAGTATTAAAATCATGGCAATTAGGATTCACTATAAACAGCAACCTGCAGACTGTTAACATCCACAAACTGACAAAATGATGAACTACGGCTAAATGTTTCCCTTCACTCAAAGCATGCTGCCCTAGAATTCGCAAAACAGTATCTCCTCTTGGTGCAAATATTGGTGTTGCAACGTCAAAACACTTTGCCTTCGTCCAACCACCATGTGGGGTCAAAATTTTAAAATCAGTCGGAAATCGTCTTATGCATTAACTAAGAGCAGTGAGGTTTCACTACCCAGGACGACTCAGGGACCCACTCTCCGACCAAGGGCCCGGGTTTTCACACTTGCAGGCCTCACAGGAGATTCAAACTGACGCCTGACTCTAAACCCATTCCTACTACCGCTTAAGTCCTCACCCAACACCATTACAAGATTAGGAATAAAAACGCCACACTGAAGAGTTAGGCATCAGGCCACGCGGTCCCCACACAGCCTATGTGAGAGGGCCACCCACGGTACCGGAGATGCAGCCACGGGGACATAAAACGAAGTCTTTTAAAGATTAACTCGAGTCACCTCACCCAAAGCGACTCAGTGTCGTCTTTCTCGCAAATGTGCCCCCGCAGGGCCACGATATCGCAGTCCGGTTTTCAGCCCACGGCCCAGGCCCGACCCGGCGCACGCTGCTCCCCGTCTAGCAGAACGTAGTTTAACCCGCCCATGCCAATGGACCTCAAATAGGTTAGACAGTCTCCCCACGGTCCCAATGGGCGAGCTCTGAGGCCACAAGGTTGCGGTTCAAGTCTGTCGAACACTTAGCGCCCGGGAGCCACGCGCAGGCCCTACCTGGAAGATGGCGGTTCCGGCCGAAAGGAAAGAGGCGGGGCCGCGGCGCGCGCCTTACAAGGGCCTGTGGGCTGCCCACGGCGCAGCCTGAGGGAAACGCCCACCGAAAGCGACACCTTTCTAGGGAAGAATATCGTCTCTGAGAACACAGAAAGTCTGTGAGGCTATTTTCCTGTCTTGCAAATGAAAGACAACCGGCTAACACAAGCCGACACTTGTATCGTGTCAGACAGCCCGGAAAGGGGCCTTCAAGGACGACCAACAGAACGCCGACGACCCAAGCGTGGTTACGTCGTCCTTTGCGTCACCGCCTACGCCGGAAGCTCCCGTGTTTCCGCGTCTCCCCGGGGAATACTGCGGTTGGAGTTGCGGGAAGTGCTAGTAGTAGTTGCTTATTTGTTTGCAGAAATAATTGCGTGGGTACGAAAAGTCAAACGAGAATGAAGCAAGTATATTATCTAGTTTGTATGTCTTTAGTTTGTCCTCCACACGTCTAAACATACGCATCTGCTAGTAGGTGCGCAAACGTTAAAACTTCTTTGGAAAGCAATTTGGCAACATCTAGTTAAAAAAGATTTTCAATTACTATACCCTAGCACTCTGCTCCTACCTATACGTCTTGTAGAAACTTTGGTAAGTGAACGAGGATGTATGTAACAGCGCTGCGGGTAGAAGCAAAAAATTAGAAACGTCCATCAATAAAAGAATAAATATCTTATGGGATGTTGATTAGGATGTAGTATTATACGCCAATAAAAGAAGACTGAACTCAGAAATGTGATGAGGCAGAAAGAGAAAGATGTGGAAAAATAAATAGTATGACAATTCATGTACATTCAACTCTAAAACTTGTAAGATAATGCTATATATTGCTTAGTTTTGTATACATACGTAGTTAAAGTAGTCAAGAATACAAGAGAATGAAAATCAATTTGAAAAAAGCGGTCATATCTGGTAAGGAGGGGACAAGAAAGGGAGGCTTTAACTGTATTGGCCATTATTAAACCAGGTGTTAAATATAGGGGTGGCCGTTGTTTTATTCACTACACCTTTAAAAATAGGTATTATTTTCTTAATGTAGTTTATTTTTAAGGCTGTTTTAGTTTTTTTTTAAGTTGAGATAATCCCATATACAAAGCATCCAGTTTCCCATATTATTAACATTTCATGCTAATGTGGTACATTTGTTGCAATTAATGAACCAGTATTTTACACTGTTAACTAAGGTTCACATTTTATTCAGATTTCCTTCGGTTTTACCCAATACCCTTTTTCTGTTCCCGGATTCCATCCAGAATGCCACATTACTTTTAGTTATCATGTCTCCTTATATGCCTCTTGTGGCTGTGGCAGTTTCTCAAACTTTCCTTACTTTTGGTGACCTGGAGAGTTTTGAGGAGTACTGGTCATGTATTTTGTAGGATGTCCTAATCATGGAATTTGTCTGATGTTTTTTATCATGATTATATGTATTTTCAGGATGCATTTTTAAAAAGTCATCTAAATAACAAAATCCCTTATCAGACTGAATATAAATAATATCGTCCAATCGCTTTTGAGGTTGGCATTTCTTCGACTCACTCTCCTGATACACCTGAAAGTTGTAATTTCTAAGAACTGCATTATCACTATTTTTAAAAAGTGTACGTTCCGTGACCACCATCATCAGCACTTAACATCATTTGCTGAAGAACTTGAGGAGGAATAGGATTTGGTATCGATTCGTTCAATACACTGACTCCTCCTGACCTTCACTGTAACTGTTAGCCCTTGGCTTCTAGGTTGTCTTTATTCAACTGAATTTTCTGTAGCTCGTCATTGCAATCACTCTCTTAGAACTCACTACCTCAGGTCACTTTTCCTTTCCCATTACTTTCTTTGAGAGGGAGTTTCATTCTCGTTGCCCAGGCAGGAGTGCAGTGGCGCAATCTCGGCTCACCATAACCTGTGCCTGGCGGATTCAAGCGATTCTCCTGCCTCAGCCTCAGGAGGAATAGCTGGGATTGCAGGCATGCGCTACCACACCCGGCTGATTTTTTTATTTTTAGTAGCGACGGGATTTCACCATGTTGGCCAGGCTGGTCGTCAACTCCTGACCTCAGGTGATCCACCCGCCTCCACCTCCCAAAGTGCTGGGATTACAGGTGTGAGCCATCGCGCCTGGCCCCCATCACTTTCTTAGCACATGTAGAACCTTGGATAAATGCAACCATGACAGTACCTCCACAGCTGAACACTGTTGAAGAAAATCTTGTAAACAGGTCGTCTGGTGTGATGACAAATCAGAAACTAGTCATCCCAGCACTATATTTTCTTGCACTTAGAAATGTTTTTTTGAGCCCATGGAGTGTTTTAAAAATTAACATATCAAAAAAAAGTAAAGATTTCTGGCTTCCCTTGGAAAATCAGGAGATCGGGCGGCACAGAGCTGCCAGGCTTGGTGGCAGCACTCCAGTGGTTGCCCCTTTAGATGGGACATGCATTCTTGAATTCCTTCGTCACTCAGCCTGTTCAGTCGTTTACCTGCCTGGCCCCTGTTGGCATTTGTGTTTGTAGCCCCTCCCATAAATTCATGATCAACCCTTAACAAATGTGTACTCTGCTGTTTAGCATCCCCACTGCAGTTCCCCAGTTAATTTGCTTACCTGCTGTCAAAAAAAAAAAAAAAGTTAAGCTTTTACGTGATTACAGTTAGTTTTATTCAGAAGTCTCACTGAGGACTGTAGACCAAGGTGTATACCCTGAGATAGTTCTTTCACAGGGCTCCAAAGTGGTGTTTCAGCCCATTGCTTGTATGTAGGTTGTGGGGGTTCTGTATGTGTGAAATCTCATTAAAGTTTGGGTGTAAGAGTACATCAGTTTATAGATTACTAAAGTAAATTGGTTATAGATTGTAGAAGCATAATCACAAACCCTGTCAGACATCTTCATGTAGGAAAAGGCAAGGTCAAGTTGATTTACTGTTTCAGGAACGTTGTAACTCAGGCAAGTGACATGGGGGCCGGTGTACTCTATCCTGTTTTAAGATTCTTCCTGAGGAGCTGCCTTTCGTCACAGTCAGGAGTTCAAGCAGAAATAAGCAAACCTGGCTTCTTAACGTTTTCTATTTTGTTTCACATTACTCTATTTAAAGATTATTTCACATCATTTCTTTGATTATCAAACCTTCCTTTCTCCCACCTTTCTTTCACTGTTTTCTCCATCTGTGTAAACATGCTGTATATGTTTTTTTCTGAACTGTTTGAGAGTAGGTCACATATATCTTTTCCTCTTTAGGCCATGTAATGTACTCATTTGTGTCTCCTAAGAATAAGGACATTATCTTATATAACCACAGTACATTTATCAAATTCAGGAAACTAAACACTGATACAATGCTTGTATCAATTTTTTTGTTATTTTTGGACAGGGTCTTGCTTTATGGCCCAGGCTGGGGTGCAGTGGCATGATCCTAGCTCACTACAGTCTCCACCTCCTACACTCAAGCCATCTTCCCACCTCAGCCTCCCAAGTAACTAGGACCACAGGTGCCACCACATCCAGCTAATTTGTTAATTTTTTGTAGTGACAGGGTTTCACCATGTGGCCCAGGCTGGTCTTGAACTCCTGAGCTCAAGTGATCTGCCTGCCTCAGCCTCCTAAAGTGTTGGGATTCCAGGCTCCTGGCCAGTATCACATTTACAATCCACATTTCAAATGTCAGTTGTCCCAATAATGTCCTTTATGGCATTTTTTTCTTTACATAATCTGGTCAGAAATGATATGTTGTGTTTATTAATAGTCACTGTGTCTCTCTTAGCTTTTAATCTGAAGCACTTCGGCCTTTTCTTGCCTTACGTGACATTCACGTTTTTCAAGTCTGCAGGTCAGTAATATTTGCCCTGGTATAAGCAGTGTTTTCTCCCTTATGTGCCATCTGTTTGCATGAAGATCATGCAAATATCCTGCTTCTAAACAAACTTTCCCTCCTGGATTAAGTATCCATCAATGCTTCTCGCAATCTTTACTGTGATGGTTACAAAGCGGTGATTTTCCAGCTCCACTTCTACCTCCACATTAAGGAAAGGCTTTCCGTTTTTCCCCATTCATTTATTTTATTCGTTCGTTTATTTGTCTAAATGTTAACCTCTTTTCCCTTTCCCTCTAAACCAATTGTGTTCCTCAAGGATGTCAGTCTCCTTTAAAGGACAAGGCAGAGAGTGAGAGGGTAGAGCCCAGGCCCCTCCCCTTTGCTGCTCCCTGAGGAGTGCCACGTTTATCTGCTTCCTGTAGTAAGGTTCATTTACAAAACAAGCAGTCTGCTACTTTTTAAAAAGTTTGAAAATCACCATCTTAAATAAATATCCTCCGTGCCCATTACAAAAAAAGAAAAAAGAATGCTTAATCTTTTTCTATAGACAGTTGAGAATATGATCATTTTAACCAGAGGCATGATGGTGATATTAGTGATAGCTAATATTTCCTGAGGTCTCATTCTATGTGCCAGTAAGCACTTAAAAATATTATCTTACTTAATTCTTACGAAACTCCTAGGAGGTAACTGGTGGTACCTACTCCTATGCATTTAGAAGATTCTACGGTGTACAAAAGGTTGCTTTTCAGGTTTTTCTATTGCTGTTTTGGGATTGAGCTTTCTCAAGTCACCTACGTCAACTGGCATTTGTGCATCTGTTTTTCAGCTTTCAAAACGTTGCTGTATTTTTTTATCCTCCGCATGCATATGGTTTAGGTCTTTAGACACACACACACACACAAACACACACGCGCGCGCACACTCGATGGGATTCTAGGGGGGAACAAAATTAGATGAGAGTATTTAATCCATCATTTTAATCTGGAGTCCCTAGGGATGAATTATTTAGATGCAGGATACCTGGATACCTAATAATTAGTTTAACTCATGTATTGTTTTAGCTGAATTGGATGTTGAAGGCATTCCAATACTGAATGAGGGGTTGGGTTATGGAGTGGACATTGGGACATTGTTTTTTAGCCACTCAAACTCATTCCTTCTTCCTACTAGACCTATATTTACTTGGGGGCTTTAACTCCTGTCCCATGTGTGTATTCTTAGGAAGGCACTCCCTACCCCCATCAAAACCAAAGGAACCAGAATTGCACTCTCCCTCCTCCGATAAACATAGGGTAGACATCCCTTCCAGTAAGCCCCCTCCCTGACTAAAAACAGTATTTGATTTCTGATTGATTCATTGATTGATTGAGATGGAATCTTTGCTATGTTATATAGGCAGGTCTTGAACTCCTGGCCTCTAATGATCCTCCCACCTTGACCGCCCAAAGTGCTGGGGTTATAGGCATGAGCAAGAATGCCTGGCCAATATTCTGATTTCTATAACCATAAGTTAGTTTTACCTAATCTTGGATTTCATATGAATGGTACTATACAGTTAGTACTCTTTTTTCCTGTGGCTCTTTTTCCTTAGCTGAATGTTGTTGAGAATCAATCATACTGCGCATACTAGTGGTTCAATTCTTTTTATTGCGAAAATATTGCACTGTATGAATATATCACAATTTATTTTTCTGTTCTCCTCTTGATAGCGGTTTGAGTTGTATATAATTTTTGTGGGTCTCGCTATGTTGCCCATGCTAGGGTTCAGTGGTGTGATCGTAGTTTGAGATCACAACCTCAAACTCCTGAGCACAGACAATCCCCTATCTCAGCCTCCAGAGTAGCTGGGACAATGGATGTGCTCTGCTGAGCCCAGTTTAGGAGTTACATTCCTTGATCATAAGGTAGGTGTATTAGTCTGTTTTCATGCTGCTGATAAAGACATACCTGAGACCCAGTAATTTACAAAAGAAGGAGGTTGAATTTGACTCACAGTTCCACGTGGCTGGGGAGGCCCCACATTCGTGGTGGGAGGTAAAGGCACGTCTTACATTTCAGCAGGCAAGAGAGAGAATGAGAAAGATGCAAAAGCGGAAACCCCTGATAAAACCATCAGCTCTCATGTGACTTATTCACGACCATGGGAACAGTATGGAGTAAACTGCCCCCATGATTCCAATTATCTCCCACCAGGTCCCTCCCTCAACATGTGGGAATTACGGGAGTACAATTCAAGATGAGATTTGGGTGGGGGACACAGAGCCAAACCATACCAGTAGGTGTATGTCTAACTTCATAAAATATTGCAAAATGGTTTTCCAAAGTAAACCCCAATTTTATGAGCACTTTTCTCTCAAGAGGATAAGGCGTTTGTTTTTACTACAGGCTTTTAAAATAGGTTTGTGTCATTAGCTCCAGTGTACAGATCTGAAAAAGTGGCTTCCAGAGTCACTAATGGTCAATGTGTGTCTAGTTTGAGACCTTTAGTGTAAAAAGAGTAAGAAAAGAATTGAAACTTTAAAAGAAATATGAAGCAAATTACATGTAGAAAATAGGAAATAGCAAAATTCATTCAACATTTATGAGCATCTAGATTAAATCAGATACTGTACTAAGTGATGAGACTATAAAAATGAATAAAACATGATCCTTGCCCTCAAGGAACCCACAAAGAATCTGGTAGAAGAAAAAAGCGAGTTCATTACAATATTGTAAGTGGTTCAGTAGAGGACACTGAAAATGAGTGCTATGGGAGTTCTGTGGAGGAAGTTACTGCATCTAGATTGGAGGAAGGGGGTGGGAAGAGAGAAGAACCCCTGAACAAAAAAGGGAGCTTCGCAGAGGTTTGGCTTGATAAGAGTAGCACTTTAATCAGAGAACGAATAGTAAGGACGTTTAAAGCAGAGGGAACAGCTTAGGTAAAGGCATAGAGACGGGTAACAACTTTAGGATCTTGGAGTAGCGAAAGTTGTCCAATGGTCTTAGAAAAGAGCAACAAATGAACAGGGATGTGGCTTATTAAGATAAGGGAAATTTATAATTTTGTAGTAGGCTTGAGTAAAATACTAGACAAAACACAACTTCCGGTCATTAAGCTGAATTTACATCTATGTATTTCTATTTTTGTGTCTTCCCTTGTGAAGGGATTTTAACAAAGTAGATGTTTTGTTTTATTTTGGTTTTCAGAAGACATTGGCTGATAATTCCAGGAGGACAAATTTTCCAAACTAGGAGGAAAAAACGTTCTGTCCTTTATGTGAGTGGCCCAGTTGGTCACCTCTTTTGAGTATCTCACCAATTACTTATGATTTGTCCTTTGTTCTGGTAGATTGACAGGAGAACAATTTCAAGTAAGAATTGATTAGGAGTTTCTAATGTAGAAAGTATATAATGAGAATTCTTGTCTCCAGAAAAATGTCACTGCAATGACAGCTAAAGTAATGAGGGTTAGAAATACTATGAATAATTGAAAAATATATCATGAGGAATAATTGTGTAAAATAATCTTTTTTCCATCAAACCTTTTTTTTTTTTTGAAACAGAGTCTCACTCTGTCACCCAGGCTAGAGTGCAGTGGTGCCATCTCGGCTCACTGCAACCTGTGCCCCCTGGGTTCAAGTGATTCTTCTGCCTTGGCCTCCTGAGTAGCTGGTAGCATCCACCACCATGCCCAGTTAGTTTTTGTATTTTTAGTAGAGACAGAGTTTTGCCCCATTGGCCAGGCTGGTCTCGAACCCCTGACCTCAGGTGATCCACCTGCCTTAGCCTCCCAAAGTGCTGGGATTACAGGCATGTGCCACTGCTCCCGGCCCCATCAAATAGCAGAGTGAACAAGACAAAAATCTATTTTTTATTTTATTTTTATTTTTTACCACTTATCCTAAAGTCAAAAAATCTATTTTTTTAATTGAGCAAGGCAAAGATTGTGTCCTTCCTTCCAAAATCTGATTCTTTATCTGAAAAGCGCAAGGCATAAACAGGTTTGTAACCATGTAATTGGACATTAAAATTGAATCCTAACCCCCTAGCACACGTCCTCATTGTCTGTAGCCGGATTTTTCTGTCTCAATCCTGATTTTTGTTCCAGACTTCAAAAATACCTTCAGCTGCTGTAGACTCTAAGGCCAGTACAACATGAGGCAGAACCGAATCAAATACCAGAAGTATTCAGATGGGGAATGTGTTGAAGTGATGAAGCAGTTGGGGAAGTCATTGCAGACTGGTTTATAGCGGCTCAGTTATATTTCAAGAATAAAGCACAATTTGGAATGTGGAAACAGCTTCACTGTCAATATTAGACTTTTGAAGTAGATGGGAAGTACTTGGTAGACTTTTAGGACTTATAATGAATTCAGAGAGACCAACTGGTCAATTGAAGTCAACACTGTTCACTCCTCATAATTATGTTAGTTTTTCTAGGTAACACCACCTGGAGCTATGCACATATTTTCTTGGCAAAGTTACTTTTTGTATTTGTAAAGAAGGAAGGAAGAGGTTCACCCTCTGATCCCACACATTTGCTTCTTATTGATTTGGGGTGAAAGCAAACAAATTTCAGTTCTGTTGTTAGCCCTGATTGACTGATTGATTATGGCTACCTGGACCTCAGTTGAGAAGGTTCTAAGGTTAATTTCAGGCTCATTGAAAATTAAAGATTATGAATACTTGATGTGCTCCCTGGGAAGAAAAGCACCTGTATATTCTGTGTTTTTTGTTACCTCTGATTTAGATAACTAGTAGTAGAAATAATTTTACTCGAAGAGGCAAGGGCCTGCACAGGAATGGGAACAGTCCAGGAAATTGGATGGGGGACATGGCTTGTAAGGGGGTACTCTGGAAGAGAGGGTTCCCTATACTAAAGCTAGTAAGAAAGAAGATACCTTTTCCATGGTGGGGAAAAAAGCAAGAGTTTTGGAGCCCACAGACTAGCTTCCAGCTCTGTTCTGCAGCTTTCTGTAAGCGTATTTCTTTGCCTTTAAAATGGAGGCACAAATACTTGTTTAAAAGGAGTTTGGATTTATACTACCATGTGAGACAGTGAATGTAGAACATCTTTTCTATTTTGTCCAGTACCTGGCAGCTGGTAGGTACAAAGTGTATCCTGCTGTCCCTGGCCATTTCTCTCCTCCTAGCCCAGTCATACTCAGAAATCTGGTCTGTGCAGTCCTGAGTGTTTCAGACTTGCAAGGGATCTGTGAGTCAAAACTGTTTTCCTAATAATGCTAAGGCATGATTTACTTTTAATTTTTTACCCTTGAATCAATTTTTTTTTTTTCGTTTTTAGAGCCAGGGTCTCGCTATGCTGACCAGGCTGACCTCAAACTCTTAGGCTCATGTGACCCTCCCGTCTCAGCCTCTCTAGTAGCTGGAAGTACAGGCAAGAGTCATAGAGCCCAGCATTCATATCTTGTTAATGTATTTTATGTGACAAAGCAAGAAGTATGCATACAGCACTGTAACATTGTGCTTTCTAATCAGTATGATAGTTGGCTGGAGGAAAAGTATTTGGCTGTTGTTTGACTTGACAGCTGAACTTAACCACCACTTTATTCCATTGAACACTTTTTACATGATAGATTGACAAACTGTGGTGCTTCAGACTTGGATATTTGGCAGATGTTTTTGAAAAATGAACTTAACCAGATTGCCACTTCAATGCAAATAACTCATAATGTTTGTTGCCAATGATAATTTGAGCTTTTAAGTGAAAATTGGTATTTTGGAAAACTTGTATCCACAACTGTGAGCTTTAGGGCTCCCCAAAACTTAGATACTTTTCTGATGAGATCAGTGATGATATTAACAAATATGTTTTCTTTTACATTGTATGAAAAATGTGTATTTGCAAGATCTGCATAACTGAGTGAACCATATTTTCCAAATGACCAATACATAATGTTACAAAATAATAAATGAGAAAACATCCATTTGAAGTGTAAGATAGATCAATAGGTTTTAATGTAACAGAGTAGGAAAACTTCATTGCTAGGGTTTCAGATTTCACATTACAACTAATCTAAGGCCGGGCATGGTGGCTCATGCCTATAATCCCAGCACTTTGGGAGGCCGAGGCGGGCGGATCACCTGAGGTCAGGAGTTCGAGACCAGCCTGACCAACATGGAGAAACCCCGTCTCTACTAAAAATACAAAATTAGCCAGGTGTGGTGGCACATGCCTGTAATCCCAGCTACTCAGGAGGCTGAGGCAGGAGAATTGCTTGAACCTGGGAGGTGGTGGTTGCAGTGAGCTGAGATGATGCCACTGCACTTCTGCCTGGGCAACAAGAGCAAAACACCATCTTAAAAAAAAAAAAAAAAAAGAAAATCTGGCACTTGAGCACTGGAATAGGATCAAATAAGGACAGATGCAGTTATCTGGAAAGGTTATTCAAATTCTTCTTTTTATAACATCTGTGTGAGGCTGCATTTCTTCATATTCCTGTACTTCAGCCAAACAGCATATGGCGATAGATTCGGTGCAAAAGCAGATATGAATATCTCGTTATCTTTGATTAAGCTAGACATTAAGTAAAGACATTGAAAACACTAAACATTAAAAACAAGGCCACACTTCTTACGTATTTTTTCTGGAAAATATTATTATAAAATGTTATTTATGTTAACACGTAGAGTTTTAAAAATTATTTTATATCAATTAATGAGTATAAAAATTTTTCATTTTAACTTCTGATATATGGTAAATATTGATAGATAAAATCACACAAGCAAAAGCTGTTACTGATCCTCGGTAATTTTTTGACAGGTAAAGATTTCCCAAGACCAAAAGGCTTATGCGCACTGCTCCACTCCACTGTTTCTGCTGCTGGTTCTGCTTTGACTCTCCCAGAAGAAAACCAGGGTTGTCACCGGAAGTTCCTGAAGTAATCTCCTTTTTAAGCAAACTTTGATTATTATACTACTTAGGTGAGTCCCAGACCAAAATATGCACATTCTCATGATGATCTTGCTTCTGCTAAGTTTTCCAGGAACACGGACTCATGGGATTATTTTCATTTTGCTTCGTTTCTGGGCAGGTCATAGTACAACTTTGCTGAATTGCCTCGAACTGAGTCTTGGATTTATACTTTAATTTGTCCTGTGATTATGCTGATTTTGCTTCACTGATATTCTGTCATGTCCTTAGATTTCTAGTGAAACTACTTGCAAATCAACCCATAAAATTTTACAGGAAAGTCAGGTAGGGAACTAGCACTTGGTTATGCTTGTTTAAAAAGAAACCCACAAAGTTTTTTCTCAAAACAGTCTTTCTGGTTGCCAAATGAAATAGGGGAGCAATTAGACTTATGTCTGATGAGTAGATTAAAATATTTCTGCTGACTGCTATAGTGTCCTTTCTGGGCCTCTGAGGGATCATTCAGATACTTGGCTGTGCTCTGATGGAATAAGAAGAATCTGTGGTTAAAATATTTTACTACAGTACTTGCTGACAAAAGACAAAAACCCTTTTAGGAATTAGAAAAATTACTCTGGCTAAAGTTTCATATATGCCAGGAATATTTGAAATAGATCTTATTTTTTGAAAACTGACAATAACTTTAACCACTATAATGAACCACAATGCCATAAAAATATTTCTGCACAATAGTTGATATGAAATGCCTTTAAAAGTTTTAGTACTGGGATTTGTAGCGTAAAATGTAATGTGAAGAACATTTATCAGACACTAGTTTAATGCTATTAATTTGTACTTAGACTTCAAAATCTATAGATGCAATTTTGCTACCAATTATTTTCTTCAAACTATTTGTAAAATACCTGTGATGCTTAAATTTTCGCTTCTGTAGTACAGTCCTCTCTCTATATCTGGGGGAATTGCTTCCAGAACTACTCAGATACCAAAATTCATGAATGCTCATGTCCCTGATACAAAATGGCATAGTATTTGCATATAACCTACACACATCCTCCTAACAGTTTAAATCATCTCTACATTATTTATTGATGTGATACCTAATACAATGTATGTTATATAAATAATTATACCATATTATTATTATTTTTTTATTATATTGCCATCTTACATTTTTCTTTTTCTTTTTCTTTTTTTTTTTTGAAGTGGAGTCTTGCTCTGTTGCCCAGGCTGGAGTGCAATGGTGCAACGCAGTCTCAGCTCACTGCAACATCTGCCTCCCAGGCTCAAGTGATTCTCCTGCCTCAGCCTCCCAAGTAGCTGGGATTACAGGCATGTACCACTGTGCCTGGCTAATTTTTGTATTTTTAATAGAGATGGAGTTTCACCATGTTGCCCAGGCTGGTCTCAAACTCCTGACCTCAGGTGCACCCCCTTGGCCTCCCAAAGTGCTGGGATTACAGGTGTGAGCCACCGCACCAGGCCTGAGCCACCATGCCAGGCCTAAGTTTTTTTTTCCAAATGTTTTCCATAAACGTTTGTTTGAACCCACAGGTGTGGAACCCATGGATATGGAGGGCTGACTGTGTTTGAAAGCTGACCTATGTGCATGAATTTGGCAAGGTTCAATGTAAATTGTTTGCTAGAATTCTATTTAATTTTGGTCTATCTGGGAGAAGATTATTGAAACTGGAAAGTAAACTGCACAAGGAACGACTAGGGGCAGTGGTCTGATTAACTTTGGCATGGTGAATTTCAGATACTGCATAGTTCATAGGTGCGTGGGCTTTGTCACTAGAGGTTTACCACTTTGTGTCCAGTGCTTAGCACATAGCAAATGCTCAATAAGTATTTGGAAAGAGAGAGGGAAAAGATGAAAATGGAAGGAAGCAATGAGCTGGCTCAACCAAATCAGCGTTACTACAGTTAATTTTAATAGCAATGACAGAATTTTAAGAAAATGATTGTTCACAGTTGCAGAGTCTTACAGAAGGAATTAGTGTTTAGGGTTCATTTGAGATTAACCAATGAATCTGACTTAGTCTACTTCTCCGCTGACTGGTTTCCTCAAACAGTGCTCAGGGCATTCATTTGTTCATGAAGCATACATTTATTGGTCACCTATGTGACAGGCAGTGTGCTGAAGACACATGAGAATAAAACAGGCATCCCTATGCACTTGAAGTTTACATTCTAGTGAGAAAAGACAGTTAATAAATTATTTACATGATTACAATATATACATTATGACAGATGGAGAAAAGTGTTATGGAGAAAAAAATGAAGAAAGGGGAAATGAGCAGACATTACAATTGAACATAGAGTGAGCAGAGAAGACCTCACTGAGAAGGACATTTGAACAAAGATCTGAAGAAAGTGAGGAAGGGAGCCATGCAGGCATCCGAGAGAAGAGCATTACAAACAGAAGAAACACGAAGATCCTGTGGACAAAGTGTTCAATACATTTAAGCCAGGGGGCAGGGAGGTTAATGGTTGGATAACAGGAGAGGGAGGGTAGTGTGGAATGCAGGGAGAGGTAAGCACATTTTGTGAGACGTTTCGGTATTGCAGGTACTTTGGTTTTTATTCTGAATGAGATACGAAGGCAGTAGAGGGTTTTGAAGAGGAGTGATGCAATCCTTATTTTTGTAAAAGATCACTCTGGAGTAGCTGTTAAGAATGAAAAGAAGGTAGTTGAAGGGAGAAACAGAAAATTCAACAATAATAAATGAAAACTTCAATACTCCGCTTTTTTTTTTTTTTTTTTTTTTGAGTCAGATCTGACTCTGTCACCCAGGCTGGAGCCCAGTGGCGTAATCTCAGCTTGCTGCAACTTCTGCCTCCCAGTTCAAGCGAGTCTACTGCCTCAGCCTCCAGAGTAGCTGGGATTACAGATGGGTGCCACCATGCGCAGATAATTTTTGTATTTTGAATAGAGAAGGGGTTTCACCATTTTGGCTAGGCTGATCTCGAACTCCTGACCTCAGGTGATCCGTTTGCCTCGGCCTCCCAAAGTGCTAGGATTATAGGCGTGAGCCACTGTGCGGGCCACTCCACTCTCTATAATAGATAAAACCCAAACAAAAAATTAGCGTGAATGTAGAACAATATCAAATAACTGGCCCAAGTAACGCCTGTAGAACATTTTAACAACAATAGCAGACTAGACATCTTAAGTGCATATGGTATATTCTCCAGGATGGACCATATACTTGGCCATAAAACGAGTCTCAAAAAATTCAAAAGAATTAAAACCATACAAAGTATTTTCTCAGGCCACAATACAAACATAAGAAATATTTTGGAAAATACAATTATGTGAGAATTAAATGACACACTGTGTTACCAATGGATTAAAAAAGAAGAAATAATAGAAATTAGAAAATTATTTGAGATGAATGAAAATTAAATACAAGAGCCTGGTGTGGTGGCTCACACCTGTAATCCCACCACTTTGGGAAGCTGAGGCGGGAGGACCACTTGAGCCCAAGAGTTCAAGGCCAACCTAGCAACGTAGTGAGACCCCGTCTAAAAAAAAAAAAAATTAGTCAAGTGTGGTAGCACATGCCCATTATCCTAGCTACTTGGGAGGCTGAGGTGGGCGGTTCACTTGAGCCTGAAAGGGCAAGGTTGCAGGGAGCCATGGTCATGCCACTGCACTCCAGCCTGGGCAACAGAGTGAGACTCTGTCTCAAAAAAGAAAGAAAAGAAAATAAGTATCGAAATTTCTGGGATACAGTGGAAGCAATGTATAGGGAATAGCTGTAAGCTCCTATATTAGAAAAGAAAATCTCAAATCAGTAACTTGGCTTTGTACTTTTGGAAGTAGAAAAAGAACAACAAACCCAAGGCAATCATAAAGAAGGAAATAATGAATAGAAAGGAAATAAAATAGAAGAAATCAATAAACTCAAAAGTTAGTTTTTTGAAAAGATCAAGAAATTGACAAACCTTAATGACACCAAGAAAAAACAGTGAAGACTCAAATGATTAAAATCAGGAATGAAAGCATGAACATCACTATCAATCTTACAGAAGTTACAAATATTATAAAGGAATATTATGAATAACTGCATGCCAACAAATTAGTTAACTTATATGAAATGAGCAAATTCCAAGAAAGACATGGAATGAAACGGACACAAGAAGAAATAGAGGCTGGACACAGTGGTTTACATTTGTAATCTCAGCATTTGGGGAGGCTGAGGCAAGTGGATCACTTGAGCTCAGGAGTTCAAGACCAGCCTGGGCAACACGGTGAAAACCTGTCTCTACAGAAAAAAGTACAAAAATTAGCCAGGTGTGATGGCTAGCTAGTTGTCCCAGCTACTTGGAAGGCTGAGGTGGGAGGATTGCTTGAGCCCAGGAGGTTGAGGCTACAGTGATCACACCACTGCACTCCAGTCTGAGCAACAGAGTGACCCTGTCTCAAAAAGAAGAAATAGAAATCTAAGTAAATCTAAAACAAGGGATTGAATCAGCAATGTAAAATCTTCCCTAAAAGAAAAGCCTATGCCCAGAAAATTTCACTGGAGTATTCTACCTAACATTTAACAAAAATTGCTTACAAATCTTTCACAAACTCTTCCAGAATATAGAGGAGGAAAGAAAGCTTCCCACTTGATTCTCTGAGGCAGTATTACCTGATACTGAAACTAGACAAAGATATTATAAAAAAACTACAGACCAATATTCCCCATACATTAAGATGCCAAGAAACCCTTAAGAAAATACTAGCAAACCAAATCCAGCAATGTATAAAAAGGATTATACAGTTTGACTAGATAAGACTTATCCTGAGAATGCAAGGCTGGTTTAATATCTGAAAATCAATTACTGTAATACACTGTGTTAATGAAAGAAAGAAAACCTGCTCATTAGAATAGATGCAGAAAAGCTTTTGAAAAAAATTCAGTACCTATTGATTTTTTTAAAACCTCAACAAACTAGGAATAGAAAAGAATTTCTTCAACATGATAAAGAGCATCTACAAAAATTTTATACCTAACATACTTAATAGTGAAAGACTAAATGATTGTCTCTTAAAATCGGA